GGGGGCATTATAATACGCTTAGCGTGGGACACCGCCCCGAGCCGCCGCCGCCGCGCCCGCGGACCGTCCAAGCCCGTCATCGGGAAGAAGAGGAGAGTAGTACGCGCGTCCGAAAGAAACAATACAGTCCAAAAGGGAGTGGAGGAGGAAGGCATTCCAGCTCTGGGCTGGGCTGGGCTTCGGTTCTTGTCGAAGATTCGGGGCGACGGGTGTCCTTCCGGTGAGGTGGTGGCGCCGCCGCGGCGGGGGAGGCGCAGCTGATAGCGCTGGGCCGACGTGTGCGGGTATCCCCCCCCCCCCCTCCTCTCCTCCCTTGTCCTGCCCCGCCACCGCCACGACCAGGACGACGCCGCCGACGACGACGCACGTCGCTGGACACTGAATTAGCGGACGTCCGGTCACAGGCGAGCTGGCAGGCCCGCCAGCCAGTACCCGCCGCCGACGCCGCGCCGGCCGCGGCGCGTCCGTCAGAAAGAGAGGGGGGCAGGGGAGGTGAGTGAAGAGGGGCCGAGAGAAGAGGGACTGACTGCAGGAGGCAGCGGGCACACTCCGCGTCGGCGTGGAGACTCGCACCTCACCAGCCAGGCACGCCCACTCCCGGAGCAGATCGCCTTCAATTACCATTGTTTTACTGCTGCGCGTCGTTCCAGCATTACGCACCGGCAGCACTAGAGGCGGGGCGGGGCGAGGTGGGGACTGTCTAACAAGCGCGCGGAGCAATCCCAACACTCCCTCCCACATAACGACGACATTATGACGATCAGAGAAAGCCTTCCCCCGCGCCCCCAGCATACGTTGGGTTACGTACAGCCTCACACACACCTCCACCTCCACGGGAGCTAGCCGCCCAGGAGGAGCAGGGACCCGGGGGATCCTGCTCTTCCTCTATGCCCCATATATTCATGAGGAATTCTGTGAGCCCGTAAGAAGTTATTCATACATGACAAAAGAGGGGCAGCAGCAGCAGCAATAAGGTTATGCTATGCATTCGCCTGACCCCAGGGTATCAGGGAGGCATGGATGGAGACATATACTAGGTGGAGGAGAAGGGTGAGGCAGAGGACCGCGACCGCCACCCACGACGCGGCCGCGGCGGCGGGGACCCTTGCCGCGGTCAAAGGGGTAGCAACAGACACAGCAGCAGCAGCAGCAGCAGCAGCAGCAGCAGCAGCAGCAGCAGCAGCAGCAGCAGCAGCAGCAGCAGCGCGACCGTCGCCGCCGGGCCGAGCCGGGCACAGGGAGACATCAAGGTCACGAATCAGACACACTCCATTGATTAAAATTCCTGCAGCGACTAGCAGCGGCAGCAACAACACACACACACAACCTGCTGAGCCGCGCCGGCGGGGGGGCTCGGGGCTCCAGCCCTGGCTCAACCCTCTCGGTCGGTGGCAACAACGCCCCATGCCAACCCCCC